CTCCTGCGCTAAACTTAGCGCATCAAAACAGCGCTCTGGCGCTGACCATACCGTACCGGTATAGTGCCGGTAGGTCGATGCCTCCAAGTGAGGCTGTACCGGTACTTTATACCTGTGGGGCAGAGGCCGGCCTCAATGCTGCGAGGCCTGGCCATGCCCTGAACCGTCCAGATGGACGGTTCAGCCCCAACCGGCGGGCGGCAGCCTCAAGAGCGCCGCCAGGCCCAAACRATAATGCCGTTTGGGCCTGCCCGTTGGGTACTGGTCCAAGATCAGGCCCTGAGGGCCTGTAACCCAAAAAAGGTCGGGCCTTTAGGCCCTGATGTGTCCCTCCGACCCTAAGTCGGGTCCGGTTGGGCCCGTGTGCGTCCAAGATGTAACACACTCCCCCTCTTAAAAGACCGAGCTACCTGCAAGGGCGAAGTTGTCTGTCCGATACCGGGGTGGGTCGGGCGGGACGAGCTGCGTCCTTAGCAAGGCGTCGCTTCTCGTAGTCGGCGAATATGAGGGGTGCAGAAGTCTGCAAATCTGTACCGGAGATCCACCGAGTGTCATCAGGCGCACATTGCTTGAATGTGACTTTGTACTGCCTTGGCTTGTTGCCATACTTGCGTTGCGTGATGACTCGGTCAACTTCCTGATGTCCGTACATAGAAGGCGGATCCTGTGATCGACGTCCGGGGAACTCGTCAGCTGAAGGTGGCGTGTAGATGACCAGCTTTGATGCATGGAAGACCCGATGCACTGTCAGGTGCGGTGGAATGTTGATCACGAAGGAAGGACCTGCGGGGTCGTCTCCAACGGCAGAAGTGACTTCCCATGGTCCGAACCATTTCGGAAGGAGTTTGCGCGAAACATCCTGCTCGAGCGCAAATTCCTCGGAAAGGACCCAAACAAGGTCTCCCTCGCGGAAAGGACATGGAAGTTGACGTCGGTTAGCTTGCTGCTGCATGCGGATCTGAGCCTTTTGCATATTCGCGCGGGCTTTGATCAGCAAGTCCCGATACTTCCTGACAGAAGCGGGAGAGCAAGGGACGTCTATGTCGGCAGCCTGTGGCAAAAGGAGATCAGCGAAGATCCGTGCTCTCTCTCCACCATGATGTAGCTTGAATGGTGTGACGCAGATCGYCGGGTGCACCGAAGTGTTGTAGGCGAACTCGATGTCGGGAAGCCGGTCAACCCAATCTTTCTGGTCGGGACGGATGAGCGTACGCAACATCATCTGAGCGGTCTGGTGCGCTCGCTCCGTCTGACCATCCGTCTGCGGGTGCCGAGCTGAGCTTGGCTTCATTGTCGTGTCGGACTCAGTCATGAGAGAAGTCCAAAAGGCCGACATGAAGCGAGTATCTCGGTCGCTCACTATATCTTCCGGAACACCCTGGTTGGTAATCTAACCGGTGTGCAAGAGTCGTGCGAGCTCAGGTGCTGCAGCATGATACTTGCAAGGAAGGAAGCGAGCATACTTGCTCAAGCGGTCAACGACCGTGAGAATACCGTCATGGCCGTGGCGATCGCGGGGAAACGGGCCTGTCATGTCCATAACAATGGAGAGGCATGGTGCCCGAGGAATCGGCAACGGTTTCAGTTCGCCGAAGGGGACTCGAGATCGACCCTTGTTACGGTGGCAAACTACACATGACTCAATGTACCTCGTGACGTCATAAAGGACGTCGGGCCAGTGAAAACGCTGGCGGAGGCGTGCTAGTGTGCGGTTCACGCCAAGGTGTGCCGAAAGTC